GGATAAATATAAGAACTGCTTATTCGAAAAAGGACAAACGCAGACGCAAAGATAAACAAAAAATGGCGAGCCATGACAGAACGAAGCATGGCATAAGCATAACAAGAACTCGGAGGTCCGAGTTGTCATGTTTGTGTCATCGTGTGTGCTTCCCCATGACAAGCAGGGCGGTGCAAGTTTAGCGGCTCCGAGACGGCTCGTGCATGTCCGTGCTGGTTCCGAAGGGCTTTTCCCTCGCCGCGCGGCGCGCTCCAGCAGGTGCAGCACAGCGGTTCTTGGACGTCTCCAGGGGAACGAAAAGTGACACAAACATACAAAACTCGGAGGTCCCGCTGCAAGAGGAAAACGTCTCTGTTGGTGAGGAAGAAAACGGCTTTCAAGTGCAACCAGCATTCGCGTTACGACGGTGATTCTTGAATCTTGCGGTCCGCTCCCATCTTCTCCCTAGAAAACAAAAACAACAAAACAAAAACAAAAAAATCGGAGGTCCGCGCGGATTTCTCGGACCGGCGATGGACCCCCCTCCATGGCGCGCGGACCAGCGCCGATCCGAGAAGTCCGCGCGGACCTCCGAGTTTTGCATGTTTATGCCACTTGTTGTTCCCCTATAGTCTCGTGCGCGCCCGCCGGTCCTGCGGGGCTTTGCCTCGCCTCGGGGGGCGGGCTCCCGCAGCTGCGCCTCGCCGAGGGCGCTCCTGGGGGGGGGCGAGGGGGCCAAAAGGTCATCCGAGGACGGCCGCCTCCGAGGACCCGAGGCATGGACCGAAATAGTAAGTTTCACGTGCCCCTAAGATGGGTTGCGAAATCAGGGAAAAGGTCTGAGCAGCGAAATTCCGAGGCTTGCGGAGCCGACGGCTGAAACCGAAAGGAAGTTACGCCGAAATCGGCAGCGAAGTCGCAACCGACACGCCGAGCAGCCGAAACCGAGATGTTGCGCAGCGACCCCCGCCACTTGGCTTTCGGCCACCGAAAGCCAAGTGGAGGGGGTCGGGACCTTAGCGGGCCCTGGAAACGACAGGGCCGTTTTGTTACCGGTTGCGTTCCGCCGTTTTTGTTGCCGGTTCCGACGCCGTTTTTGGTGCCGGTTCCGTCGCCGTTTTTGGACCGGTTCCGGCTCCGGTTCCGATCCTGACCCCGTTTTTTTGCCGTTTCCGTTTTTTTTGCCGTTTCCATTTGCAAGGGACCTGTTTTTTGGAAGCGGTGACAAAACGGCCCTGCCGTTTCCGGGGCCCACAGAGGTCGGGACACATTCTTCCTCGCGCTGCGAGGAAAAAGCCGGCCGCGCGAAGATTCGGCAACGCGCAGAGGGGGGTAGGGGGAGGGGGGAGGCTTCTTCGAAGCACCCTTGCCTCTTGGCAGGCGCGGGCCTTCTCTGTAGACGTAAGGCCGAGGCCTTCCAGGAAGCAGGGTGCTTCTAAGAAGCCTCCCCCCCTCCCCCTATACCCTTGTGCGCGCCGCCAAAAGAGGATCGCGCCGCCGCGGCTCGGGTCGGAGGGGCGCTCTTCTCCGGGGCGGCGGCGCGAGAGCGCGGAGAGGGGCCGTACGCGTCGCGCAGCGCGGGCACCGCGCGCGAGGTGAGGCGGCACGGGAAGATTGTGGCCGGAGAGAGAGCGAGCGCGAAGCATTCCCGGGCCCCTTCGGGTCATGAAAAAGTCACGACGGGAGATTTGTCGCTAGTTTCGGCTCCTGGGGGCCCTTACCCGGCCTCGGGGCCGTCAAAAAACGACTCAGGATGAAAAGCCGGTCCCAGGGAAAGGGTCTGGACCTCTGGGGGTCGCGTCATGAATAAATCATGACGCCAGGGGTCTGGGTTGGAGGCTGCATCGACGGCACACGGCTGGCATTCGGAGGTGGGTAGACCTCCTACCCCGACACGTCGATGAAGGAATGGGCCGTTTTCGGTTCGCTGAGAGGGCGTCGCGGCCGTCCTTTTTGCGGGTCCAGGCCCGTCGGTTTCCGTCCCAGGCTGTTTTCACTAAGGGGAGGTTTACCAAAGGGAGGTGCGTCCACCGCCGAGGCATGCACTTTTCTCGAGCGCGCCGGTGCCGGAGGCCCGGACGTGGCACCAACGCCAGGATCGACGCTGTGCCTCCATTGGGGGAGGGCGATCCCGGCTTCGGCGACGGTGGTAGATCTGCGGGCTCCCTGGATTCGGGGGCGGCAAAGAGGGGGTGATGACTACCCTGACCTTCCAGGAGGGCTAAAAAATAGCACGCGACTTAAAACCCTTTCCCAGAGCTATTCTACGTCTTGGCTTTAGGCTGTTTCGTTTCATTCTTTTAAGTTTTTAGGTCTCCAGTGCTAAAAAATAGCTCTCTGGAAGGTCAGGGTAGAGGGGGGTGGATGTCATGGCGGCGGCCATGAGATTTCCACAGATGTCATGGCGCATCTTCTTGGTTTGATACGTCCCCGCCCCCCCCCCTGGACCGCGCACGTGCCGCCGGCCATGGTTTGCACCCCCCCCCTCCTGGACGCCCCCCTCTTTGCCGCCCCCGATGGATGGTCGCGCAGTTGCCGCCAGCACCAAAAGCTGGGGCCATCTTCCCCTGGTGGAGGCGACCCCTTGCTCTGGTGTTGGTGCCCTTTTTCCAGTCGGGGAAACGTAAGACCCAATTCGCGTGGGATGTTTGCAGCGGGAGTTCGCGCCAAACTTCAGATTGGGTCTCGTCATTTTCATGATGGACCCGGCCAACCCGAGTCCCCCGTAGTCGAGTCTTACGTCTCCCCGATCCAGGCCTCTAATGCAGTGTCCCCGTCTGAGTCCCTGTTCACGGGGCCCTGGGTCGACGCCGCCGCCGTCGCCGCCAGTGCTGGCTCGCAGGGCCCTTGAGTTACTTTGCGCGCTGGCCGCGAGCGCGCGCGAGACCCCGCGAAAGGAAATTGAACGTGCTCTCTCGTAGCACGGGCCCCCCTACTTGTACTTCGTGCCTCGCTGTGTTCCATACAGCTACCCCCGTACATCCCACAAAGCGTGACGTTCCCACACCAGAATTCAATGGACGCCCTGGGATCTCAGGGTCGGGTTTCTTGTGGAAGGTTTCTTGTGGTCCGGCCCCTACTGTATGAAGACTCATGATGCTTCACGTATCCGCGCCAGCCCATCCAGGAACAATGCCCAGGATAACTGCCCTTTATCGGGACAGCGTGGCATCATGTGGAGAGCTCGGACAACCTCCGTGGGCCAGAGGCTTCTGGGATGCCTTGCGGAGTCTATTGGGATGTCTTCTGGGCCTCCTCCTCCTCCTCTTTACTTTTTCCTGTGTCCTCCTCCGCTATGGGATCAACCTGGCGCACCAATCCCTGTTCCTCCCCCATTCCTTTTCCTGATGGACAACTCCTCTCTGTCGCACCCCGAAGCCTGCCGAAAGAAAGGGCGGGCCCGGCGCTTTGCTTGAGATCTCTTCACCATAAATGATTTTGAAGTTGAGATTTACAACAGCTTGGCGGACGGCGGTGTTGGCATGTTTCCAAATGTCGTTTTCGCTTCAGTGCCGCGCCGATCAAATTGAAACAATTGCACGAGTTCCACGGATGGGGGGCGAATCGTTCTGGAAATGTGGTTCTCCATTTGGTGCCGCGCACATTCGCTTTAAAATGTGCAAGAGCGTCACGGATGGAGGACGGTCCCCTTTTTTCCAACATGCGACTATCGCTTTAGCGAAACGCGCATTCGTTTTAAGAGTTGTCGACAGTTTCAAGGGTTCCCATGGTTAACGTTCGAGGAACGGTGTTTGGGCACGATGTCCGAATGCCAGGGCTCAGCCGTTGCGTTGATGGCGTTGTCCCACGAATGGCGTTGTCGCACGGATCCGGATCGTCAAGACGCAGCCGTAAGTTTGATTCGCGGCGTCGAAATCCAAGACAGCGTGTGTTGGCACAGCGCAACAGTGCAAGAGTTTCAAACGGTTGTCTTCCAACGGAGCAATTCCGTCAGTCTGAACGAACATGTGTATGGGCCTTGAACAAAGAATTTGAAGAGAGGGCTGATTGCAATGTCGTTGATGAGTATTGCGAAGGCTTGACGGCCGGTGCCGCCGACCCTGAAGACGAAGCTGTCTGTGACGCCGTGAAGGCCGAAACGTCGTATTTGCTAGAAATGCACGTTTCCGATGGAAAAGTAGTGAGTGTGGCCTCTTGGGCCCTTCTTGGGGGTGCTCTTGGAGGGGGCCTGGGACGTCTTGGAGGCTTCTTGGACGGTCTTGGGGCTATCTTGGGCGTCTTCGGCCGATCTTTGGGCGACTCGGGGCACTCTTGGGCCGTCTCGGGGGCCATCTTGGGCATTCGGATCTCATTTGGGGTGTTTTCGAGGTTTCGAGGCCGCCCGAGGAAAAACGAATCTGCCCCCCCCCACCCCCCCCTCCACCCCCACCCCCCACCCCCCCCGGGACCCCCCCCCCTGGGGAAGAGATCAAAGGGAAGGGGCTTCCCTTCGAATCGACAACGGCATGAGAGGGCTGATTGCAATGTCGTTGATGAGTACTTGGTTTGGGACTTGTCCTCGTCCTGCTCTGTTTCCTCTTCCTTTTCCTCCGTCTCTTCCTCCTCTTCCTCCTCTTCCTCTTCTCCTTACACCTTTCCCCCCACTTGCGCACATCCCGGCGAGACGACGGTGTGCGTGGTGTACGAAGCGGCACACATGCACGAGGGAGGCAATGAACAGGAGTGACAAGGGGAGCGAGGGAGGCAGGCACAGAGAGCAAAGCTGCAGGGCCTGGCCCCCACCAAATGCGGCGCTGGCTAGTCCCCGCCTCTCCAACCTCTTCCTCCCTCCACAGCCATTTTGGCTCAAGCTTGTCTTGGCACCTGAGCCCCTGGGCGGAGCAATGTCGCTGCTCCAGGCGGGCCTGGCTTTCGTCGGTGGGTACGCAGTCAAGACCCACTGCCTGGAGGTGCCATGCCATGCGAGAATTAGCGCATCAGGCAAGACCATCAAGTTGAGCGTCGTGGTCCACAGTGCAGACCTCGTCGGCGCTCCCTGCGGCCCAGGCTTGATCGAGAACCTTCGCCCCGTCGTCGGCGTGTGCGCAGGGGACAAGACCAAGGAGACCGAGCGCGGCGACTGGTCCAAGGAGGAGGGCAGGTGGTGTTTCCAAGAGGCGGTGACGCTGGTGGTTGGCCCCGGCGACGAGCTGTCCGTCTGCCTGTCGTGCAGCACGCGCTACAACCTTTACGTGGCCGCCGTCTCCCTCACCACGAAGCGCGTGGGCGAAGTCTGCTTTCCAGTATCCCAGGTGCTTTCGCGGCTCAGGCCCGAGGACCGGGACGCGGAGGGGATGGTCCATGTCACGCCCGTGATGCCTTTCGACGTCACGCAGGACGGCAGCGTTACGGGGCGCGTGTACCTCTCGTTCGAGACCAACGCGCCGCCGCCGTCGCAGAAGGCCGTCGACGTCAGCAGGTGTTGCGGCTGGGGTGGCACCAGCATGGAGAGGCTGTGCCTGGCGGACGAGGACGACGCCTCTGGAGTTGGGGCGGGGCCGCCACTGGTGCGGCATCAGGGGCAACGACAGGGGGGATAGGCATAGGGGGGATGCATCGACACGCAATCGCCCATTGATCGCCGATAGGGGCCCGATAGCCCCAACCTGCCCAGGAAGGTGCGGCTTCACTATCGGGGGCCTACCGCCGATCTATCGGCGACGTATCGCCGATCCCATTCCGATGCATCCCCCTTATTCAAGGGAGGAGAAGCCACCCTGACCCGACAATCTGCGTTTACCTAACGGCCCTGGGCGTTTACCAAGCACGGCCCGGGGCGTTTACCAAGCAGCTCTGCCCTTTTCGATTCCTCCCGTGGGTGCGTTTACTGAACGGCTTCGCTTGTCGGGGTGATTATTGTGGGGGGGATTTGTTTTTTGTCCTCTATCGGAAACTGGAGCATGTGCATTACCAGTTGCGGGTGGTGTTTCAGTCCCAGGACTTTGGTGAGGGTCGGGGACGACGTCGGGGTGGTGTGGTGTATACTTTTTCCCCGTTTTCCCGGGGAAACAACAAGAATGTATACACCAGGATCCCGTATACACCAGGATCCGCTTTCCTGTGCGAGCTTCAGTGCGAGGCCAGACAAAGGCGTCGGTGTATGGAGTCCGGTTCCTTACTCTGCCGCTGCCCTGGGCGTTTACCGAGCAGCTCTGCCCTTCTCGATCCCTCCCGTGGGTGCGTCTAACTACTGAACGGCTCCGCCCGTCGGGGTGAGAATTCTTGGGGGAGGGGGGGGGGGGGGACTCGTGTGCTGCCCCCCGCTGCCGCCAGCCCCCCCTCGTCGTTGCCCCTCGCGGCAGCGCGGCTGCTCCGAGCGCCCCGGGCCGCAGCCCGGCAGCGGCCGGCGGAGCCCCTGCAGCCCCTGCCGGTGAGGCCCCCCGCGCGGCGCGGCGCCAATGTGGGGCCGGCCGGCGGGCCGCGGCGCGGAAGGGCCCCGCGGCCCGCGCCCCGTGCCCGTCGAGCAGGGGCGGAGCGTCCCGGGCGTGCCCAGCGGGCCTGAGGCGGGCCTGTCCCTCTACGTCGGGGGCGGAAGAGAAGGGGGGGTGATGACTACCCTGACCTTCCAGAGAGCTATTTTTTAGCACTGGAGACCTAAAAACCTAAAAAACGAGACGAAACAGCCTAAAACCAAGACGTAGAATAGCTCTGGGATAGGTTTTTAAGTCGCGTGCTATTTTTTAGCCCTCCTGGAAGGTCAGGGTAGGGGGGGGGGGGGCTATCATGGCGGGGGCCATGAGATCTCCCCAGCCTTCATGGCGCCTCTGCTTCTTTCACTACGTCCCTGGCCCCCCCGCTGGGCCGCGCACACGCCGCCGGTCATGATCTGCACCCCCCCCCTCTTGGACACCCCCCTCTTGGCCGCTCCCGATCTACAGGGGGGCTACGCGAAGATAGTCAAAAACTAGTCGGGGCAGAATGTTTTGACTATTTTTGCCCATTGTGGGGGTTTTGTTTTAGGTTTTCAGTCGTCGTCCAAAATCCCCCTGTAGGGGGACACGCCCGACGTAACCATAGGCCCACCAGAGAATGGTGCGCGAGCCGTCTGTGGTCTGCACGAGGTGTTCTCGGAACACTTCTGGCCGAGACCGTCTTGTGTTAACGCGTCGGGCTCGTGTTCTGAGAGCAGTGTTTTGGCTCTCAGAGCAGTCATGGCTGAGACCGTCTTGTTTTGACACACCGGGCTGGTGTTCTAAGAACATGGCTGTTGTTATTAGAACAGCTCTGGGTTCGAAGACAATTTCGTGGTAGGCCTATAGGAATGCCGGGACGGTCGGTCCTTGCTCAAGTGCGCGTGCGGAGGGCAGCCTGGCAGGCGAGCTCAGGGGGGCGGGGTGGGGCGGAGGAGGGGGGCCACGGCCGGTCGACGCGGCGGCGGCGACCGCGGCGCGGGCATGCAAGGTTCTGGAAGCCGGGGTGGCTTCGGCGGCTTGGCCAAAGGCGAACGATCTGCGCGATCGGGGTGCCGCCACGGCTCAAGGTGGGACGACGGTGTCAGACGCGATCGACCCACGCGGAGTCCGACGGGCACGACGCGAAGTCACGGCACGACTCTCCCGTGGGAGGGCGACCCCGCGGAGGCGCGGCCGCACGGCTGCGTTCCGCGAGGGCAGGCCGCGAGAACAGCGCCCCGCATCCGTGGAGTCGCGGCCCCGGGGGCCCGGCCCGCGCAGGCCTGGGCGCGAGGGGAGGAGGGGAAAGGGTACTCGCCGCCCTCCCGGTAGGATGCGCAGGGCCCCACGCCCTGCGCGGACAGCAAATGCGGACTCGGCGGCGCCGGCGTGGAGCTCCTCCTCCCCCTTCCCCTCCTCCTCCTCCTCCTCCTCCTCCTCCTCCTCCTCCTCCTCCTCCTCCTCCTCCTCGTCTTCCTCCTCCTCCTCGTCCTCCTCCTCCTCCTCCTCCTCCTCCGCCAGGTCCTCCTCCTCCTCCTCCTCCCGGCCTGAGGGGTTTCGGGGCGCTGTTTTCCTGAGGCGCTCCACTCCCCAGGCTTCGCCTCCTCCACCACCGCCATGTGTCAGGGGACGCCCACTCCGCGCACCTGCGCGACCATGGCCAAGCCCACCCTGGGCCTAGGATCGGTGCACAGTCAACCCGCTTAGCAAGGATGGGCAACCCTCCCAAGGGTACCCTTGCATCCTTCCCCTTCGGCCTATGCTCAGCAACTTCCGCTGGCCGACCTCGTTCGAAAAGCTTTCACACGGGCCTCCAAGGCCCCTGGAGGAGGAGATGGAGGAGGAGGAGGAGGAGGAGGAGGAGGAGGAGGAAGAGGAGGAGCAGGAGGAGGAGGACCAGGAGGGGGAGGAGGAGGAGGAGGAGGAGGAGGAGGAGGAGGAGGGCATCCTCACCGCGCATCCTTATGATACGGTTCGACCGCGTACACCGTGTGCACCGATCCCCGGGCCAGGATCGGCCCGGCCGGGAGCGGTGCAGGCGTGCAGCGGGCGTCCCCCCCAGGCTGGGCGGCGTCTCCCCCCCAGGTCTCACGACGCGCGGTGTTCGTGCCCTCGACCGCCTCTCCCCGGCCATCCGACCATACATCAGGAGGGAAAGAAACACACAGACACAATTAATCGTCGACTCCCAGGAAAATATGCAAAAATATGGGAAGTGGTGGGGAAGACAAAAATCCAGAAAATATGGGAAAATATGGGGGATATTTTTATTTGTGTGTATTTATTTGTGTGTTCCAGTTCCCCTTCAATACAGTGGAAGCCCATGCCTTATGATGTCCCAACCCACTCTAGCCTTGACCGCCAGAAAGAGTCTCGAGCACCAAGAACGTACCCCAAACTGGAAGGTTCTCACGTGTCGGGCCCTGGGAGGTGATACTCGTTCGACACCGTTTCGATACTTGTCTGGATGCTCGAAATGATTTGGGGGGCTTGGTCCTTAAGTACGATGGGAGCAGCATAACCCATGCCAAGAAACACCCTGCTTGCCTCCAGAGTGCCCTGGGTTTCTTGACTTTCGACGGTGTTGCTATGGAAAGCGTGACGCTCCCACCAAAAGTCACCAAGTTCCCTGGGGCTCCCAGTATTCTTCTTGCGTTTGTGCCAAGGCCTCTTTCTTCGCTGTGGCCCAAGCTCGAGCCAGAACCCCGCCCTAGCCCACGGCCCTCGCCGCAGCCCGAGGCCTTTGCCCTACCCCAGCCACGGTTTTCGATGATTCGTTTCGTTCTTCGTTTCGTTCGTCGTTGTGCTGACCGTTTTGCGTTTTCTAAGTTCGAAGCCCCCGCCAGCGTTCTAGGTTTTGACTTTGCTCATCTGAGAGTTTGACGCTGTTTTTGCGCCTGTTTCAATGTTTTCAGCGGCCGCCTTGCCCCATGGCTGGATACGTTGTTGTCACTCGTTGCCGCTGGTTTTGTTCTCGGCCCGAGCCCGCCAGGCCGCGCGCGCGGGCCATGGAATTCCGTTCAGATTTGTTTGATGGCCTTCGGCCTTCGCAAGCTCGCGGCCATGAGGTGTTGGCTTGGCTGACTAGCAGACGCATGATGTCGCATTGAACGAATCGATTGCAGCACTGGCCCGAATCTGTGTTCCCTCGGCTGGGCCGATGGCTGGAGCGTAGTGTTTTTTGTCGTTGGCCCGCCCAATGTTCCATGTCACCCCCGTTTGCGATCATGTTGTTTATTTTGATGTCAGCCGTCATTGATTTCTGCCTCCTGGTAGCACTCGAGTCTCAGCATGGGCAGGCCGCCATCGACCACCATCGGGGAACCACCCCAAGAGCAGACGCCCGCCGGCTGTGCGGCGCCCGCGAGGTGCGCCCTGCGCGTGCCAGAGCACCCCCACCATCCGTGTCGAGCGACAATGCAAAACGATCGCGGGGCACCCCACATAAGATCGTTGTCAGAAATGGAGTCTGGCATTGCTTTCGTCAGGGATGGTAGGCCTGAGCGCAGCAGGCAGGGTGCCGCCACCCCCCCGTCGCCCGTGCCCGAAAGAGGCAATGCAGCATGATTGATTTAGCGCCCGCGCGTAATCCAGATTTTGCCGCAATGTGCATTTCGCATCGGTTTCCCACCGGGATAGTGGGGGGGGTCACGGTTCCGGGTCCGCCACAGGTCAGGCGGAGGGGGATGCATCAAGAAGGAACCGTGGCAACCCCATCCCTGAAGGGGAAGAAGGGAGTTGGAGGAGGCAACGCCTTCAACCACTCTCGTCGTACAGGGCTGGTGGGACTAGTAGCCGTGCAGCACCCCCATTGACCACCTTGCAGTCAACCCGCATATTAAGGATGGGCAACTTTCTCAAGGGTACCCCTGCATCCTTGCCTCCTCGGCCCATCCTGAGCCGCTTTCGTGGGCCGCGCCCCGCTCGAAAAGCTTCGAGATGGGCGTCCAAGGCCGTTGCATCCTTATCGCGCATCATTACTATACGGATTAACTGCGTCGGCGATGTATCTTCGATTCAAGGTCGGTGTTCTGGCGATGTTTCCCTTTTATCGTTCCCCCTTCCCTGAGCGGGACGCTGACCTGCGGGTTCCTCCTCCTCGTCCTCCTCCTCCTCCTCCTCCTCCTCCTCCTCCTCCTCCTCCCTCCTCCCTCCTCCTCCTCCTCCTCCTCCTCCTCCTCCTCCTCCTCCTCATCCTCCTCCTCCTCCTCCTCCTCCTCCTCCTCCTCCTCCTCCTCCTCCTCCTCCTCCTCCTCCTCCTCCTCCCTCCATCGGCCGATTGATACGGGCCGACTGCAGGGCTGCCGCGCTGGAGGGCTTTCGCTGGACGGCCTCGGCCTCGGCCTCGGCCCAGAGCCCCCCGAGGTCAGCCACGACGGCCCCGGCGAGGCCGGGCCCAGCTCCGGCGTGATCGTGGGCACCGCCGCTGCGCCAGGCGGTCCGCGGGGCGGTGCAGGGAGGAGGAGGAGGAGGAGGAGGAGGAGGAGGAGGAGGAGGAGGAGGAGAAGGAGGAGAAGGCGAAGCGAGCGCGCGATGTCGGTCCAGCGGGACCGGCCCTATGAGGGCAGCGCGGGGGGGCCGGGGCCCTTCAGAAGACGAGTCGGAGCCGGAGTCGGAGAGATGGACGCTGGAGTCGGAAAGTTGGGAGCCGGAGTCGGAGACAAGGGCGCTGGAGTCGGAAATTGGGGAGCCGGCGTCGGAGAGATGGGCGCCGGAGTCGGAGAGATGGACGCTGGAGTCGGGAAAAATTGGGAGCCGGAGTCGGAGAGATGGACGCTGGAGTCGGGAAGTTGGGAGCTGGGGTCGGAGAGACGGGCGCCGGAGTCGGAGAGATGGGCGCTGGAGTCGGAAAATTGGGAGCCGAAGTCGGAGAGACGGGCGCCGGAGTCGGAGAGATGGGAGCCGGAGTCGGAGAACTAGGAGCCAGAGTCGGAGAGATGGACGCTGGAGTCGGGAAGTTGGGAAACGGAGTCGGATAGCTGGTAGCCGGAGTCGGAAAGTGGAGCTGACGGAAAGTTGGGAGCCGGAGTCGGTGGGATTGGAGCCGGAGTCGAAGGTGCGGCCGCCATAGTCGGATAAATGTCCCAAGTTGGAGATTGGGAGTCGGAAGGTGGACGTCGGAGTGGGAAGTTGGAGGTCGGAGGAGGAGGAGGTGGAGGAGGAGGAGGATGAGAGGAAGAGGAGGAGGAGGAGGAGGAGGATAAGTCAGGGGAGGAGAAGATTATTACCGACACCAGTATTTGGTTACTCGTCCTGGAGATCCCTCGTCGACACTGCTGGATTCTGCTCGAGGCTCTGGCCGGCGCGACCCACCCCGCGACCCCCCCCCCCGACCCACCCCACGACCCACCCGCGACCCACCCGCGACCCATACGCGACCCATCCGCGACCCATCCGCGACCCGGCCCGCGACCCACCCCGCGACCCAGCTGCGACCCACCCGCGACCGACCCCGCGATCCACCCACATTGCTTTAGGCGAAAAATTGGCGCCTGCGGCGGGCGTCTTCAGAGCCTCGCAGACTCACGACGTCCTCGCCGCCCCCCTCACTCTCATCGGCAACTGCGGGGTCATACGTAGTTATACCTATATATATATATATATACACATATGTATATATATATATATATATATATATCAAATATATACATAGACACACAAGTATACATACATGTATGCATGTATGCATGTGTGCATGTGTGCATGTGTACATGTGTGCACGTATGCCTGTATACATGTATGCATGTATGCATGTATGCATGTACGCATGTATGCATGTATGTATGTATGGATGCATGGATGGATGTGTGTATGTATGTATGTATGTATGTATGTATGTATGTATGTATGTATGTATGTATGTATGTATGTATGTATGTGTGTATGTGTGTATGTATGTATGTATGTGTGTGTATGTATGTATGTATGTATGTATGTATGTATGTGTGTGTATGGATGTACGTGTGTGTATGTATGTATGTATGTATGCATGCATGCATGTATGTATGTATGTATGTGTGTAAGTATGCATGCATGCATGCATGCATGCATGCATGTATGTATGTATGTATGTGTGTGTATGTATGTATGTATGTATGTATGTATGTATGTATGTATGTGTGCAATATGTGTTTGTATGGATGTAGGTAGGTAGGTAGGTAGGTCGGTGCATGTATGTGTGTATGTATGCATGGATGTCTGTATGTAGTTATGTATGTGTGTATGCGTGCATGCACGTATGTATGTATGCATGTATGCATGGTTGTGTGTGTATGTGTGTATGTGTGTATGTATGTATGTATGTATGTTTGTATGTATGTATGTATGTAGGTATGTAGATATGTAGGTATGTAGGTATGTATGTATGTATGTATGTGTGTGTATGTGTGTATGTATGTATGTATGTATGTATGTATGCATGTCGGTGTGTATGCTTGTATGTGTGTATGTATGTACATACGTATGTAGGTATGCATGTACGGATGTATCTAAGTATATACATACAGAGACTCACATACACGCAGGTATTCATGCATAATGCATGTATGCAAACATAAATACATACCTACACCCATACAGACATGCATGCATGCATGCATGCATGCATACAGGCACACATACATACAACGACATGCATCTACATGCATATGTACATGTATAGTGGCCTTCGGCCCATCCCGCCACCGTGCCTGGGTTGTGGATTAGAGGCATCTTGGATGTTCGTTCGGGTATAGTGGGAGGCCTCTCGGGGGCCTCTTGGAGACAGTTTGAGGCCATTGGGGGGCTTCTTTGGGGGCCTCTCAGGGGCCTCGTGGGGCCTCTAGGGGGCCTCTAGGGGGCCTCGTGGGGCGGAAAGCTAGAATTGTCGATTCATGTTTTTGTTCCCCCTCTTGGGCCCCTATTGAGCGATCTTGAGCGCTTCGTAGGCCGTTTTGGGGCCCTTTTGGACAATCTTGGGGGCATCTTGGACCCTCTTGGGGCGGTATTGCAGGCCGGTGGGTCTATCTTGGAGCGTCGGAAGCCCGAAATCGCGAGAACGCGAAACACATAAAACAACGAAGCAACATCACTGATGTTTGCCTTTTTTGGGCCCTCTTGGGGGTCCCCTTAGAGCGCTCTTGGGGTTTTGGGGGGTGGCCTCTTGGGCCGTCTTGGGGCCATCTTGGGCGTGGTGAAGCGTTCTTGGGCTGTTTGGGGCGCCTCTTGGACCTTCTGGGGCGCTTTCTGGTTCTTTGTTGGCCCGTCTTGAGGCCCTACGGCCTCTGAAAAGTCACGCAAGGGAGCGCATTGGAAACTTGCGAATGTGAGGCCCCAGCCCCGAGAATGCTGTTATCCCAGAGTCCTGAGTACAGAGAACAGAGAGAACACATGAGAGCAGTGGGGGAACTCCACTTCGTGCCTATGTATATATATATATATATATATATATATGCGTGTAACTATACACATATATGTATACAGAAGTTGACATGTGTATGTATATACATTTATATATTCATTTAGAGAGATGTGTATGGATGTGCGTATGTATGTATATGTATATGGAGTCACAAGTGCAGGTGTGCAAATATGGCTATATGTGTATACGTGGATGTGTGGATGCATGTACGTCTGTAGTTCGTGTATGTACGTATGTGTGAATGATGGATGGATGGATGTACGTATGCATGTGCGATTCTCGGTATGTCTGTCTGTCTGCCTGTCTGTGTGTATGTGTGTATGCATGTATGTACGTATGTGTTTGTCTGTTTGCGTGTATGTATGTATATATGCATGTATGTTTGTGGGTATGTATGTGTAGGCCTGCATGTATAGGTATATGCATGGTTCCGTGCATATGGATATGTATATATGTATATAGGTGTGTGATCAGCCATCATCATCATAATCGACATCATCATCATCACCACCCTCGTCATCATCATCAGCAGCACAATCATCATTAGTTGCAACAGCAGCATCAACATCATCTGTACCACCATCAGCATCAGCAGCAGCACCACCAGTATACTTATCATTAGCACTATCATCCTCATCGTCGTCATGAGCATCAGCATGTCCATCATAGCCACCACCATCCTAATCAGTATACTCATCATCATCAGCATCATCAAGAGCATCACCACTATCACCACCACCATCATCGTGATCGTCAGCATTATCAGCGGCATCATCATCGTCGTCATCGTCATCGTCATCGTCATCGTCATCGTCATCACCATCATGAGTATCATGCGCTGTCCGAGCGGCCTGGCGCATTGTTTCCCTTCGCGGCGCGGCGGCACGTCACCTCCCGTCGCGCAGCTAGTTCGCTAGCCATTGTCGCCACCCACACCCATCAGCAGCAGCAGCCTCCGCCCTCCCCTTTTCTGAATTCACAAGGCAGGCAGCCAAATCGCACCCAAGTCACTACCAACGGCGAGACGGCTCAGCCATCGCCTGGGGCCCCGGCTACACTGCACAGGTGCGACCGCTGGGCACGCAGGGGGAGGGAGAGGAGGGAAGGGACGGAGAAGCGGAGGAGAGGGGAGCAGGAAGAGGAGGACGAGGCCCTGGCAACCGATGACATGACTTCTTCAGTGCGCGGCCAGGGATCCCGAGACCCCTTCCTTTGGGGAGGAGGAGGAGGAGGAGGAGGAGGAGGAGGAGGAGGAGGAGGAGGAGGAGGAGGAGGAGGAGGAGGAGGAGGAGGAGGAGGGGAGGAGGAGGAGGAGGAGGCAGAGGAGGAGAGGAGGAGGAGGAGAGGAGGAGGGAGGAGCCAGATCCGCGCGTTTGATGGCCCAGGGGCCCGACGAGGGAACCCGAAGGCCGCAGGTCGAGGAAAGGCGCCAAGATTGGAAGGTCTTATCGTAGCGATGGGGAGGAGAGGAGGAGGAGAGGAGGAGGGATGGGGGAGGAGGGGGGAGGAGGAGGAGGACGATGGGGAGGAGGAGGAGGAGGAGGAGGAGGAGGAAGAAAAGGAGGAGGAGGAGGAGGAAGAAAAGGAGGAGGAGGAGGAGGAGGAAGCCCGGGGAAGCACGACCGGGCAGGGCCACGCCTCGGGCCGCGGGCCCGCGCGGCCGCCCCCGAGGCGGGCTGCTGCTGACGCTGCTCGCCTCCGGGTCCCTGGCGTGCCAGAGGCTGCACGTGCGCGTCGCGGGCTGAGGGGCCGTTCGCGGCCGCGTCGCCCGAGCGCAGCGGCAGAGGAAAGCAAAAAAGAGATTGGCCTGACGAAGGACCCAACCATCTGCAGCTGCGAGTGCCGCGAGGGACAGCCTTCTGCCACGAAACGTGTGAAGGGTGTGCCGACACGAGTCGGAAGGACGCCTGCGAACGTCGCCATTGGGGCCTTCCGTGGAGCTCCCCATGGGGCCACGAAACGTGTGAGGGGTGTGCCCAAGTAAGGCGGCGGTGCCATGCGAACTTTCCCACTGGGGCCTTAGGTGGGGCTCCCTATTGGGCCACGAAACGTGTGAGGGGTGTGCCGAAATGGGGCGGCGGTGCCACGGGAACACGAAACGTGTGAGGGGTGTGCCGAAATGGGGCGGCGGTGCCATGCGAACTGTCCCACTTGGGCCTTCGGCGTAGCTCTCTATGGGGCCACGCAACGTGTGAGGGGTGTGCCGAAATGGGGCGGCGGTGCCATGCGAACTTTCCCACTGGGGCCCTAGGTGGGGCTCCGTTTGGGACCACGAAACGTGTGAGGGGTGTGCCGACATGGGGCGGCGGTGCCATACGAACTTCCCCACTGCGGCCTTAGGTGGAGCTTCCCTTGGGGCCACGAAACGTGTGAGGGGTGTGCCGAAATGGGGCGGCGGTGCCATGCGAACTGTCCCACTGGGGCCCTAGGTGGAGCTCCCTTCGGGGCCACGAAACGTGTGAAGGGTGTGCCGAAATTGGGCGGCGGTGCCATGCAAACTTTCTCAGTGGGGCCTTCGGCGGAGCTCCCTATGTGGCCACGCAACGTGTAAGATGTGTGCCCAAATAATACGACTGTGCCATGCGAACTGTTCCATTGGGGCCTTCGGTGGGGCTCCCTATGGAGCCACGAAACGTGTGAGGGGTGTGCCGGAATGGGGCGGCGGTGCCATGACAAGTTTTTTTTCCACTGGGGCCTTAGGTGGGGCTCCCTATTGGACCACGAAACGTGTGAGGGGTGTGCCGACATGGGGCGGCGGTGCCATACGAACTTTCCCATTGGGGCTTTAGGTGGAGCTCCCCATGGGGCCATGAAACGTGTGAGGCGCGTGCCGAAATGGGATGGGCATGCGGAGAGCAGAGGCAGGGAGGGGAGGAGGGAGTAGGAGGAGGGGGAGGAGGGGGAGGGGGAGGAGGAGGAAGAAGGAAGGAACGTGGGGCACTGTCTCTTCAAAACGAGGACCCAACACCACAGGATGATTGGGGAGGGGGGGGGGGGGAAACGCGCCTCGTTCTGGCGCAGGGAGGGGAGGGAGGCAACGTCCTGGGCCCCGGGACTGTGTACTGCAGGCTCGTGTCATGCCGACGCGGCGGCGACCCCAGCGCAGGCGCGCCTTGCGAAGCGCTTTCTGCTCTCGCGCTCCGCTGCCTCCCACGCAGATTCATCGACAACCTCCTCCTGGACATCGTGCTCTGCACGCAAGATTTCACGCAGCCGGCATTCCCAGTCGCCGCCCCTCCCGCGCACCAGCGCCCCGGCCCCTGCTTGGACCGGGGCCGGACGTTCTGGGCTGAATGCCGCCAGTGGCCAGTGGCTTGGAGTTGGCCGGTCTCACATAAATTCCGATCCAGCATCGGGATAAACCGCCCCAGAGTGTTCCGGAACGCTCCGGGAAGGCCGCGGCGCTTGTCGCATCCTCCAGAACTAGCCTTCCTGGCCCTTGGGCATTGCTAGGACATGTGCGTTCTGTTTCATCGAGGGCCATCGAGGAGCCTTCTGGAGCACCCTGCGAGAAAGGAGACACGCACGAAGTCGACATAAATGCACGGGAAGTTGACGTCCGAGCAATGGCAAGGGCTTCGTGTTTGGCTTTCTCGACTCCACAAAAAAGTAACCCTTCGCCAGAATGACCTCTGGTGCGGGCCCATTGGGCCTCCCCCCGATCGAACGCGATGCGATAGCAGCGTCGTGCGCGCTCGGAGTTGGTCCCCGCGCGGCCCCCAAAGAGCCGCGCACCCAAGGCCACTCTCGCCCAGGGTCACTCTTGTCTGGTCGACCCAAAAGGGGGTCCAGCTGAAAGGGCGTGGTGCAATAGATTTTAGGCAAATGCATTGCAATCGTTTTGCGCCCGAGAATTGTATTGCACTGTATTGCGAGTAATGTATTGCACGCGAAAATCCAGCAATACACTTGCGCCCTGGAATGTTTTGCACGCCCCCCCTAAATCTGTTGCAGCCCCCACAAATCTATTGCACCAACTCTGTTGCACCACCCTCGTGTCGCTGGACCTTTTGCACCACCTTTTGGTCAAGGGAGGAAAAACCACCCGGACCGGACACTTGGCGTTTACTAAACAGCCTTGGGCGTTTACTAAGCAGCCCTGCCCTGTGTGATTCCTTCTGTGGGTGCTTTTACTAAAAGGCTCCGCGTGTGGGAATGGTTATTATCGGGGTGGATTTTCTGCCCTCGATTTGGCTCACCCAGACTCTCGCGCGCCGCGAAGCTCGAGCGATCGCGGTCGCTCCAGTTGCCGGCGGGCCCTCGCGGTGCTGGCCGGCGCTGCTTGCCCCACGGGCTCCAAGAGGGGGCAGGCGCGCCGGGGCGCGCGCCGCGCCCCTTCTAGAGCCGCAGGGGCCCCGCGTGCGGAGGGGGGCAGGGTCGGGCCGGACGAAAGGGGGGGATTGGGAATCGGGAGCATTGAAACGGGGGTCAACGCAAACGGGGGTCAGCCAGAGCGCCCCGACCTTGCAGGATCCTGCAAGGCCAGGGTCGCATTGACCCGGGTTTGGGCGCAGGATCCTGCAGGACCTTGCAGGATCCTTCGCATTGACCCGGGTTTAGGTGCAGGATTTTCCAGGATTTTGCAGGATTTTGCAAGGAAGAACATTCGGTGGTTTCCACGACAGGTTCTTAGAACAGGTCTGGCCGATACTGAATTGTTTTAACACATTGGGCTTGTGCTAAGCACATTGTTTCTATTATCAGAACATTGGGGGGTTCTAAGAACATCTCGTGGTAGACCTATAGAAATGCCGGGACGGTCGGTCCCTGCTCAACATACCCCCCCCAGAGATCTAGCATATTGAAAAATCAAAACCGAGGTTTTTCTCCGTTTTCGGCCTCTAGGGGCCCTTACCAGGCCTCGGGGCCGTCAAAGAACGACTCAGAATGAAAAACCGGTCCTGGGGAATGGGTCGAGACTTCCGGGGACCGCGCATTGAAAAGATCACGACATCGGATCTCAGGCTACCCCCCTCGGGTCAGGAACTTCGCCCAGACGTGTGCATGTTTTTCAGGAGTGGGAAAAAGACACACAGACACCATGACTCGTCGATCCACTAGAAAAGATATGGGAAAATATGGGAGGTGGGGGGGAAGACGAAAATCCAAAAAATATTGAAAAATGTTGGGAATCCTGTGAGTTGTGTGTATTTATTGGTGTGTCTCTAGGCCCCTTCACGTGTGCATGTTTTCTCAGGCGGGGACGATCGAGGAGAATCGGGTCCAGACCTCCTGGGGCCGCGGGTGGAAACGATCACAGATCGGAGGGTGTCCGTGACAGCGTTTGGGCGTGTCGAGGAGCCTTTTGTCGGGCCATCGTTTGAGAGCGTTCCTGGGCTAGGCCCCCTGCCTTTCTTTCAGTCGGCATGTCCTTCTACAGGAGGACTATTCAAAAAATGATAAAAATAGCCAGGGCACGATGTTTTACGAATTCGGGAGCATGTTTGGATTATTTTTTATTGTTTTAGAGTTTCGCCCAAAATCCGCCTGAAGGGGACAGGCCCGAAAAAATCCAAATCTTTTTTACCGAGATCCGCCAAAAATCGCCAAAGATATTGCTTTGCCGCAATATTTTCATACTGCTTCAGAGTTTCGCCAAAAATCCTTTCTGCCGAGCTGCGCGCAGGAGCCCGGCGACTTGATGTTCCGGTCGTCGGTGCAGCTCTGGAGGCGTCAGCGCGTCGCCCGTGGCTCGGGGGCGGCAAAGAGGGGGGTGATGGCTGGAGGGGGGGGGGGACATCATGGCGGGGGCCATGGTATTTCCCCAGACTTCATGGCGCCTCTGCTTCTTTCATTGCGTCCTCGGGCCCCCCCTCCCTGGGCCGCGCACGTGCCGCCGGTCATGGTTTGCACCCCCCCGTCTTGGACACCCCCCTCTTGGCCGCCCCCGAGCAGCGTCGCCCGTGGCGGCCGGCTGGCCGCAAGCAGGCAGCGCAGACGGAAGCGGAGAGGGGCACGCCGCCCGAGGCGCCAGCCGCCCCGGCCCTCTGGCCCTGCGCAGGACTCGGAACCTCTCGGACGTGGGCACTTCTCCGTCTTCTTATTATCATTATTTTTATTATTATTATTCTTAATCTGATTATTATGATTATTATTCTTATTCTTATTATTATTATTCTTACTACTATTATTATTATTAATAATATTATTACTCGTCTTCTTCTTCTTCTTCTTATGATGCTCCAGCCTGCTTTCGCCTTGATCACCGGGAAGAATGTCGAGCGCCCAAAAAGGTACCGAGACTCAAGAGTTTTCACGTGCCGGGCCCTGGGAGACTGTTTCGACACTCTTTTGACACTTTTCTGGGTGCTCGAAATTATTTTGGGGATGCGGCCCTTAAGTAGGACGGGGACAACATAATCTTCTTCTTAGTATTAGTGGTATCATTTGTCTTAGTATTCGTACTGTTATTATTCTTCTTATTCTTCTTCTTCTTCTTCTTCTTCTTCTTCTTCTTATTATTATTATTATTCTTCTTATTCCTCTTCTGCGAGGACCATCGAGGAGCGTCTCGGATCCATCTTGCGAGACACTGCACGCACGAAGGCGACAATAGTACTGGGAATGGACGTCCGAGCGATGGCGAGTGATAAAGTCACGACGTAAGGTTTGTGACAAATTTCGTCAAACAAATGTTCGGGATGAAAGTCCAGTCCCAGCGAATGGGTCCAGACTTTTGGTCGGGGCTCAAGGGACTGGGGTCAGTGCAAGCGGGGGTCGGCCAGAACGCCGGATCTTGCAGGAT